CATTCATGGGTTGATGGGCACTTGGGCTTCTTCCATGACTTGGCAATTATGAACTGAGCTGCAATGAACAATCTGGTGCAAATATCTTTGTTACAAAGTGAGTTTTGGTCTTTTGGATATACACTTAGTAGAGGAATTGCAGGATCAAATGGCAGGTCTACTTTTAGATCCCTGAGTGTTCTCCAGACTTCTTTCCAAAAGGGATGTATTAACATGCATTCCTACCAGCAGTGCAGAAGTGTTCCCTTTTCTCTACATCCACGCCAATGTCTGCAGTTTTGGGATTTTGTTATATGGGCTACTCTTACTGGAGTTAGATGATATCTCAAAGTGGTTTTGATTTGCATCTCTCTGATGACTAAAGATGATGAGCATTTTTTCATGTGTCTGTAGACTATACGCCTGTCTTCTTCAGAGAAGCTTCTATTCAAATCTCTTGCCCACAATGAAATGGGATCACTTGTTCTTTTCTCATTGATAAGTTTGAGTTCTCTATGGATTCTGGTTATCAGACCTATGTCAGAAACATAACCTGCAAATATCCTCTCCCATTCTGAGGGCTGTCTACTTGCTTTACTTACTGTGTTCTTGGCAGTGCAGAAGATTTTTAGTTTGAGCAGATCCCAATCATGTATTTTTGATGTTGCTTCAATTGCCTGGCGGGTCCTTATCATAAAGTATTCTTTCAAGTGTTTGCCCTGCACTCTCTCCAAGAATTTTTATAGTTTCATGTCTTAAGTTTAATCTTTTATCCAGTGAGAGTCAATTTTTATTAGAGGCAAAAGGTGTGGTTCTAGTTTTAGTCTTCTACAAGACACCAGTCAGTTCACCCAGCATCATTTGTTAAATAGGGAATCTTTCCCCCAATTTATATTTTTGATAGGCTTATCAAAGATCAGTGTCTGGGTTCAACTCTTGGTTTTCAATTCGGTTTGGTGGTTTGTTAGGAGAACTCACAGGACTAAGAATATAGTCATACTTATGTGTAAGATTTATTATATTAGGCCCATGAAGTGGAATCTGGAGGAAATCAGGTCTAAGCTTATAAGAATCTTCTCCCTTTAGGGTCACATTAAACATTAAACATTAACATGCTTAATTCCTCTAGCAATGAATTGTGACAACACATGGGAAATGTCTATCAAGGAAAATGACTCTGTGTTCAGGGCTTTACTGAGGGTTGGTCACCTGGGCACACTCTACCTTGCCTGTTCCAAAATACCCAACCCTCACAAGGAAATCAGGTGTTCAGGATGAATCACATTGTTTGTAGAAACAGTTTAGGGACAAGGAGCTGCTCTTATTAGTGGGAAACCTCCTGAAATCCAAGTTCTCAGATGTGAGGTTAAGGCCAATCTTGCAAGTAGGCCTTTCTATGGATAGTCCTTTCTAAATCTTATGCCTGCTTTTCTGTGCATCAGAAACTTTAGCTCTGAGTGTGGAAAAAAAATCCCGTTTCTGTTTCTTTTCCCACAGTGGTCCAGGATTTAATTGTGAAGGTACCATATATCAAGTGAGAACAATGAGGAAGAATGCAAATAACAAAAAGAATATATAGTTTTTCTAATTTCCAAAATACAGTTTTGTTCAAAGTTAGAGGAGTTTGCTTCGAGAATTTCCTTTAAAAATTGATTGGTTTCTGGTCTCCATCTTTTTATTTTCCCTCCTCTCTTCAGAGGAAAATGTTAAGGCAGTCAGACTTTGAAGAAAACTCTACTTAGTGCTTGAATCATTCCAAGACAGATCCTCTGTCTTTTAGGTACTATTAACACAGAAATGATAAAGTCAGAGAGAGTCTCTCTGTTGCTAAGTAGTAGGGTAAAGGACTATTGCCTTTTCCTCATGAGCTATGGGATAGAAAATTTAAGTTTGTGGCCCAGGCAGAAATACATCTTGCTGCTAAAAAGCTTTTGGCATGATTGCTTAAGTATATTTTACATTTCATAAAATTAATTTTAATCTACAGGAGTACTGAATTTGCTTTGACCTTTTCAATAGATTGTTGCTACTTTGGAAGATGCCTATGGAGCTGACATTCAAAGCATACCAAAAGCATTTGTGAGGTCTGATCAGGAAGACTTGTGTTTATCTGTAAGTATAGATAACCCAAAGGTAGATAAATTAACACTGAAAAGAGCAAAATTTTCTTTTGGAATCTATGTATATTCTCAGAATCAATTTTTCCTTCATTAAAATGACCCTCTTGGAAAACTTAAAAGGACTGTACTTATTTTTCCATCTTCTGCTAATACTTCTCTTAAGGTTTTTTTTTTTTTTGCAGTTTTTGGCCAGGGCTGGGTTTGAATCTGCCACCTCTGGCATATGGGGCCAGCGCCCTACTCCTTTGAGCCACAGGCGCCACCGTTCTCTTAAGTTTTAATTAAGGCATATTTGTATCTTGGGTCTGCTTTTAATAATAATGCTTCTTCTCCTGTTAATTTTTTAGCATAAGCTTATCTGTTGGTTTGAGATATATAGGTATACCATGTCATGAAAGAATTCTATTTCTAGCTTACTAAATAAAGAAAACCTCTAAAGAATAAATGTGGTTAACAAATTTGTCTGTTGTGTATATTGAAGTAATGCAACCCTTAAAATAATTATATGGTTCTTCTTCAATCTATTAATGAGTTATTTTTATGTATTAATAATCATACTTTAATATACTTTACACACAGATTATTATTATTTTTATTATATAACTAGTTTTCTTAGTTAGGGATTGAGTTTAGCTCCATGTAATGAAACACCTATGTTAAATCAGTCAATGAACCTGTCTCTCCATTTATTTAATTAGCATTTAAAGTTTTTCATTATGATTAGTTAGATGTGTACATTGATATCTCATGTTTTTGGAGTGATTGAAGTTTTTGAAATTAATAGAATTATGCTTTAAATTTCAATTTCCACATTTGTAACTAGTAGAGAAATATGATTTTTGTGTGTTGATCTTTTATCTTATGACCTTGTTCAATATATTTTTTCAATTTAGGAGTTTTTCTGTAGATTCCTTGGGATTTTTTTTTGGCTGGGGCTGGGCTTGAACCTGCCACCTCCAGCATATGGGGCCAGCACCCTACCCTTTTGAGCCACAGGTGCCACCCCAATTCCTTGGGATTTTTAACATAGAAAATCATATCATCTATAAATAAGGATAGTTTTATTTCTTCTTACCCAATCTACCTGCTTTTTATTTCCTTCTTTTGACTTATTATGCTGGGAGTAGTTTCAACTATTATATTGAGCAAGAGTGGTAAGAACAGATACCTTTGCCTCATTCTGACAGTTGCTTTCAGACAAGGGTAGAAGTGCAGTTCTCTGTTTGGCACCACTAATATCCCCTTGGCGGGGGAATCAGAATGCTACTTAGTATTGCCAGGTAGGTGGTGGAAGTTTGCTCTCTACTGAGCTCTGCTGACACATACCACCCTGGTGAGAGAGATAGAGGGCAAATTTCACTGCCATATTATTCTTTGGTTCTGCTGACATTTATGAGGTTGTGGCAGAGAATTTTTCTTGTTCTTCTAAGTTTCTTGTTCGTCACAAGAATGGAGAAACAAACAAACTCAATGCCAAGTTGGACCTAATTGATTAACACTTAAGTAAACATAGGGAAGTAAATCTCAATGAAAATGGAGCTGGGGGGAGAAGGGAGGAAGGGATGGGTAAATTCACCCCTGCTGGGTACAGTGTACACTATTTGGGTGAAGGGCACACTTAAAACTTTGACTCAATCTTTACAAAAACAAAGTATGTAAACAAAACATATACTCCCCCTAATCTTCTGAAATTAAAAAAAAAATGAAAAGAAATATTCAGCTCGGTGCCTGTGGCTCAAGTGGCTAAGGCGCCAGCCACATACACCTAAGGTGACGGGTTCGAATCCAGCCCAGGCCCACCAAACAACAATGACGGCTGCAACCAAAAAAATAGCTGGGTGTTGTGGCGGGAGCCTGTGGTCCCAGCTACTTGGGATGCTGAAGCAGGAGACTGGCTTGAGCCTAGGAGTTGGAGGTTGCTGTGAGCTGAGATGCCACGGCACTCTACCCAGGGTGACAGCTTGAGGCTCTGTCTCTGGAAAAAAAAAAAAGAAAAAAGAAAAGAAATATTCAGGAAAAAATTTGTTTCTTGGTATTTGGCTCAAGTTGGATAGGTGTTGCCAAAAAGATTATGTGCATGTTAGAGACACCTTTGCACAGTCCTTTGGCTTTTCTTCGGGCTTTTTTTGTTTGTGCTTATTGGCAGTTTGAGGTTGCATACTCTTCCAGTGCCCCATCCAATATATGCTGGTAAAAAGAAGACGCAACTAACTCAGTGACGTGTTTTCATCAGGTACTGAGATTCCTGCTGCCTTCTTTCTCTCTTGCAGTATTTTCCTGTGTTTGTATATTTAGGGTATTTTAGTTGTAGGAGGGAGGATTAGAGGAACGGGGTCAGTTCATCAGTTCCAGTTCCAGAACTGGAAGTCCCTAATTATTTGATACAATTTTATGTTCTAAAGTATATTTTTCCGGATATCTTTCTTTTGACTACTCATTGCATGTAATATCTTTCACAGTTGTAATTTCAAACTATAACTGTGTATTTATTGTGTATTTCTCTGAAACAATGTACAGTTGAGTCTTTTTTATCCAGCCTTGGCAATCTCTATCTTTTAATTGCTATAGTTAGCTCACTTACAATTCATTAATACAGTTAAATGTCATGCCATATGATTATTGTAATAAAATGTTGACAAACTAATGTAAATTAAATCTACTCTCCATTTGCTCCTTTTTAGTGCCATATAGTCTTTGTTCCTTTACTCTTTCTTTTATGTCTTATTTTGAGTTAATTGTATGTCTTTTTTTAGTATTTCATTTCTGTTTTGGTTTTGTAATGATGCTTTTTTTGTGCTTGTCCTGTGGATTCAATATGTAGGGGAAATTTGCCCTGATCTTTAGCATAAGACTCACTTCCTGCTTGAGAGACCCAGAGAATCATGAGAATGGCATGTGAGTTGTGTACATGCAGGAGATCAGAAGAGAAAATGTATGTGTGAGGTGCAGCAATAATAATTATGGCAAAGATTCTCTAGATTCCCAAGATCTCCTGGTGCTGGAGACAGAGGTTGTGCTCAAGGTCTGAGGTTTTGCAAAACAAAGGCAGAGGCAGTCTATCTGACCTTCTCCATCTCCTCCCTAGTCGGTGCTCATGTTGGACAAGCAGCTTTTGTCTACTTCTTCCTGTTTTATGATAATAAATTCAGACCTGAGCTTTACTCGGGAGCGCTCCTCCCAGAGTTCCTCAGTCCCCAGGCATGGACTCTGTGTCAAGCCTCTTCATTCCTCACACCAAGACCCCCTCTTCTGGTGCCCCCAACCCCCTTCAAATATGTATCTTAAATTTATCGATTTTTTTGGATAAGAACTTTATAGCAGTTTAGTTCTATTAACCCCTACTTATATTTGTATGCTATTGTTGCTACATCATTGTTTCCCTTTTTTACTCTGGCTGCTTTTAAGATTTTCTCTTTTCATTTTTAGCAGCTTGAGAAGACACCTGTCGATGAGGTTTTCTATGTATTGTTCTGTGTGGGGGCCACCGAGCTGAGTCAAGAGTTTGATGTTTTTTTACCAAATTTGGAAAATGTATTATTTCTTTAGATATTTTACTACTTCCCTTCTGCATTTATGGGACTCTACTTACACATGTATCACACTGCTTGATACTATGTAAGACGTTACACTTGCGCTGCTCATTTATTTGGGTGTTTTCCCTTTCTGTGCTTCAATTTGGACAATATGGACAACATGTACTATCTTATTTTCATGTTCACCAACGTATTCTGTAATGTCTCATATGCTGTTAAACTGTCTCTGAGGGTGGCGCCTGTGGCTCAGTGAGTAGGGGATTAGCCCCACAGACAGAGGGTAGCGGGTTCAAACCTGGCCCCAGCCAAACTGCAAGAAAAAAATAGCCCAGTGTTGTGGCAGGTGCCTGTAGTCCCAGCTATTCAGGAGGCTGAGGAAAGAGAATCGCCTAAGCCCAGGAGTTGGAGGTTACTGTGAGCTGTGTGATGCCTTGACACTCTACCAAGGGCAATAAAATGAGACAATTTCTTTTTGTCTCATTGGCCTGATGGGGACACATGATTACCCTTATTGATAGACAGGGCTGGGAAGTTTATTATTATTGTTGTTGTTAGCTGTGTATATTCCCATCCCTAACCAAGTTGAGGTCCTGTCAGTAAAGAAGAAAGGAAGACTCAGTGTATGGTAGGCTAGTAGTCTGTATTATATTTCACTTCCTTCACAGCACGACTGTTGTTGTAATCCCTGATACTTACAATATCTATGCAGAAGAGCTTTCCAAATAATCTAGTGTTTTAGTTCACTGATTTTTTTTTTCCTTTGACAATCATGTTTTTTAATTGCTCCTCAACCGCTAATTGACAAGGTCAATATCCTCTAGTTCCTGTAATAACAGGATAGCTGTTTCATAATTTGAATTTCAACAATTCTGTTCTCTGGGCACTACCTCTTATCTTTCTAACTCAGTCTGTCTCATGTCCTTGCTCCAAAAATTCTTTAATTTCACTGGGACCTATGGTCTTTTGGTGCTACTCCTTTTTAGCGTCCCAGATTCTCCTTGTATATGTACTCACCCAGCCTACATAGCACGGTCCCCTATTAATATCATTCCCTGGTACATGTACTTAACTCCCTTTAAACCCATGTACTGCTTTATTGCTCTTACTTGGTTAAGTTGCATACCTTGTCAAATTGATCTCTATTTTCTCTAATTCCTTGACATCTGAATGTAGGTAGAAGAAAATCCCCAAGAATGCTAATGATCTCACTTTATATTTGTGATTAATAACCTTAGTCTATTCATTTCCCACTCTCTTGGATAATCATTTCAGTTTTTTTCCCCCCTCTTCTATATAATTATAGGTCTTTACCATGACAAAGAGTATGTGAGCCAATGAATATGTTTAAAATTTTAACTTAAAGAACATAGTCTTCATAGAGTATCATTCTATGAGAATCATTAACTACATATAAACTACCTAGTATTGGCTCAGCACCTGGGGCTCAAGTGGCTAGGGCGCCAGCCACATACACCTGAGCTGGCAGGTTTGAATCCAGCCTGGGCCCACCAAGCAACAATGACGGCTGCAACCAAAAAATAGCTGGGTGATGTGGCAGGTACCTGTAGTCCCAGCTACTTGGGAGGCAGAGGCAGAAGAATTGCTTGAGCCCAGGAGTTGGAGGTTGCTGTGAGCTATGATGCTACAGGACTCTACCCAGGGTGACAGCGTGAGGCTCTGTCTCAGAAAAAAAAAAAAAAAAAGAAAGAAAGACTACCTAATATTTGTTTCTCATGGATCAATCCTCTGATTTACAAATAAGCACTCTTCTAGAAGAGATTAGGTTATTGTGACATTGTAACCTGTAACTATTTCTTCAAAGTTTTCTCTTGTCTATTAGGTGAAAAGACTATAACTCTTGGCAAGTATAATTAGTAGTTGTAGTTAGAATGCTTTTTTTGTTTTTAAACATAAATAAACATTTTTAGGACATACAGTGTTACTTTTTTTTGGGAGGGGGCACTTGGAAATTTCAAGAGTGTAAGAGTCGATTTTCTGGAACTATGTAGAGGACCCTGAGAGGAGAGATGTAGCTGGGTCTGTATCATTAATGGCCCACTCCTTGAAATGTGCTTTGTTCCATATTTTTCTCTGGGAGAATTTGTGTAGCATTTGAAGCATGGTGTCGTAATCTGTTTTTTTCATTGTTATAAACGAATGCCCAAGATTTGGTCATTTATAAAGGAAAGAGGCTTTTTTGGCTCATAGCTATGGTGGTTTTATAAGAAGTCTGGCACCAGCATCTGCTTCTAGAGAGGACTTCAGAGAGCTTCCAATTAAGGTAGAAAGCAAAGGGGAAGCAGGTGTGTCACTTGGCAAGCGAGGGAGCAGAAGAGAGGGGAGGAGGGATCAGGTTCTGTTTTAACAATCAGATCTCACAGGAATGCATAGAACTCATTACCTGAGGGGTAGCAACCGGCCATTCAGGAGGGATCCACCTCCAAGAGTCAAACACCTCTCATTGAGCCCCAACTTTGGAGATGGAATTGCAACGGAAGATTTGGAGGGACGAACCTCTCTATCACCTAGAATGTGCTTTCTTCCCTGTGTTTTCTTTGGGAGCATTTGTTAGTATAGCATTTAAAGTCTGGCTTATTGCTTTCTATGTTTGAAGGGACATCAGTTATACAAAATTAAAATATTTAAGATTAAAGGAGTTAAATGTACTAAAAATAGAAATGCATATGAGCACTGAAAAGTAACTTTTTGTTTTGTTATTTTTGAAAGGTTGGGGATGATTTGAGTTCGTTCTTGACGAGTTGTTCACATTTGGCAGAACAGCTTGAAGCAGCAGTTAAGGAAGAAGATACAGTAGGTATTCTAAATAAACTGCCAAGTATAAAATATTAAAACATGTATTGGTTGTTGAAACTTGAATGTGGTATCCAGTTAGCAATATTAGCCTAGATTCAGTGCACGGCTTTGGGAAGCATCATTTATTTTTATTTATTCTTTTTTCATCAGCAAGGGTATTTATTTTGCTCCAAATCATAGATTATGCCATTGACCCACTACTAGTAAGACACAAACTTTGAGCTGATTCTTCGGTAGTTGTATGGGGTTTAATGAGCCTGCAAAATCCTCTCATTCAGAGTAGGTAAGTAGTTACAAGGTAGTTAATAAATATTGACTGGGAGGCAATGAGCAACAAAGGGAGAGAGCTTGGCCGTTAATATTAAGTGAATGATTATACAATTAGGTTTAGCATCACAGACCTTATCAATTATCCATGAGTAAGAGATAAAAATATGTAGAATTGACTGGGGGCGGTGGCTATAGTCTGTACTCCTAGCACTTTGAGAGGCTGAGGCGGGTGGGTCTTCTGAGCCAAGGGGTTGGAGACCAGCTTGAGCAAGAGCAAGATCCTGTCTCTAAAAATACCGGGGCGTTTTGGTGGGCCCCTGTAGTCCCAGCTACTTGGGAGGCTGAGACAAGAGGATTACTTGAGCCCAAGAGTTTGAGGTTGCTGTGAGCTATGAGCCATGGAACTCTACTGAGGGCAACAATGTGAGACTCTCTGTCTCAAAACCCCCCCCCCAAACCAAAAATCCCAAAATAAAAAAAAAATATGTATATACGTGTATATACAGTTGTCTACATTGTCTGTTTCTTTCATATAGTGAAATATACTTAATTTCTTGTTTTTGGCAATATTATTTTTTTAAATTGACACATAATGTATTTGTGGAATACCTGATGATATTTCGATACAGTGTACAGTGGTCAAATCAGAGTAATTAGTGTATCCATCACCCAAAACATGTATCATTTCTTTTTCTAAAATCATTTCTGAAAATGCTCTAATCCAGCTATTTAAAAATATGTAATCATTGTTGACTGTAACTACAGTCACCATATAGTGCTATAGAACACTATCACTTACTCCTCTTGTCTAGTTGCAATTTTGTATTCTTTAACCAACTTCTCTCTATCCCCCTTTACCCCTACCCTTATTATTCCTTAACAATCGCTATTCCACTTTGTACTTCTTTTTTTTTTTTTTTTTTTGAGACAGAGCCTCAAGCTATTCCCCTGGGTAGAGTGCCGTGGCATTACAGCTCACAGCAACCTCCAACTCCTGGGCTCAAGCGAGTCTCCTGCCTCCGCCTCCCAAGTAGCTGGGACCACAGGCGCCCGCCACAACGCCCGGCCATTTTTTTTTGGTTGCAGCCGTCATTGTTGTTTGGCGGGATCGGGCTGGGGATTCGAACCCGCCACCTTAGGTGTACGTGGCTGGCGCCTTAGCCGGTTGAGCTATAGGCGCCGAGCCCCACTTTGTACTTCTATGAGATCAACTTTTCTTGAGCTCCCACATATGAGTGAGAACTTGTAATATTTATCTTTGTTTTCCTGGCTTATTTTCCTCAGTATTATATCCTCTAGGCCTGTCCATGTTGCCACAGATAACAGAATTTCACACCTTTTTGTGGCATTTTCTATATATGCCATCTTTATATATTCATCTTTTCTTTTTAAATTTATTTTTATTGTTTTAGAGACAGGGTCTTGTTCTGCCTCCCAGTGACACAGCTGTAGCTCACTGTAATCTCAAATGCCTGAGTTGGAGTGATCCTTCCACGCAGCCTCCCAAGTAGCTAGGAGTACAGGTGTACACCACCATGCTTGGCTAATTCTTGAAAACTTTTCTTTCTTTCTTTTTTTTTTTTTGTATAGAGACAAATAGAATCTGCTGTGTTGCCTGTTGCCTAGGCTGGTCATGAACTCATGGCTTCAAGTGATTCTTCCACCTTGGCCTCCTAAAGTGCTGGGATCACAAAGCAGGAGCCAGGGTATCTTGCCTCATTCATCTGCTGATGGACACTTAGGTTGATTCCATGTCTTGGCTATTGTGAATAGTGTTGCAGTGAACATATGAGGGTACATGAGTCTTTTAGACATTGATTTTCTTTCCTTTGGATATACATATACTCAGTATGGGATTGCTGGATCATATGGTAGTTCTATGTGTAGTTTCTTGAGGAACCTCCATGCTGTTTTACATATTGGCTGTACTAGTTTTCATCTCCACCAACAATGTATGAGAGTTCCCTTCTCTCTACTTCTTTGCCAATATTTATTTATTTTTTTTCATCTTTTTGATAGTAGGCATTCTAACTGGGGCAAGATGATATCTCATTGTAGTTTTGATTTACATTTCCCTGGTGGTGAGTGACGTTGAGGATTTTTTTCACATACTTGGCCATTTTTATGTCTTTCTTTAGAGAAGTACCTGTTTAGGTCATTTGCCCATTTAAAAATCAATTGTTTTTTTCTTAACTGCTGAGTTGTTAGAGTTCCTTGTGTTTTTGGATATTAATCCTATCAGACGAGTTTCTTTTTGTAAATATTTTCCCCCATTCTGAAAGTTGTCTATTTACTCTGTTGGTTATTTCCTTTTCTGTGCAGAAGGTTTTTAGTTTAATTACACCCCATTTATTTAATTTTGGTTTTGTTGTATTTTCTTTGGGGGGGTCTTAGTCATAAATTTATTACCTAGACCAATGTTCAGGAGAGTTTTTCCTAAGTTTTCTTCTAGAATTTTTATGTTTTTTTTGGTCTTACATTTAAAAATGACTTTAGTTTACCTTGAATTAATTTTTGTATGTAGTAAGAGATAAAGATTTGCTTTAATTCTTCTGCATGTGGCTTTTTAGTTTTTCTAGCACAATTTATTGAATAGGCCATCCTTTCTCCAGGATTTTTTTTTTTGTGTTTTATTAAAGATCAATTGTTATAGGTATATGGTTTTATTTCTGGGTTCTCTCTTCTGTTCCACTGGTCTTTCCTACCAGTACCATGCTGTTTTGGTTATGGTAGCCTTTTAGTATAATTTGAAGTCAGGTAATGTGATGTGTCCAGATTTGTCATTTTGTTGAGGATTGCTTTGGCCATTTGGGATCTTTTTAAAATTCCATATTAAATGTAGAATTTTTTTCTAATTCTGTGGTACTTTGGTATTTTGATCGGAATTGCATTGAAACTGTAAATTTCATTTTAATACTATTGATTGTTCTGATCCATGAGCATGGGATATTTTCCCATTTCTATGTGTTAGGTAGCATTACTTTCATCAATGTTTTGTAGTTTCCCTTGTAGAGATATTTCACCTTCTTGTTTAAGTGTATTCCTAAGTATTTTATTGTTTTTGCAGTTAATGGGATTGAGTTCTTACTTTGATTCTCAGGGTGGCTGTTATTAGCGTATAGAAATGTTACCGATTTGTGAACACTAATATTGTAACCTGAGAATTTACTGAATTTGTTTGTTTATTGTAGAAGTCTTTTGGAGCAGTTTATAGGATTTTCTACATATAAGATCATAATCATTTGAACACCAGGATAGTTTGACATTCTTTTTCCTGAGCTGGAGAGAGTATGTCATAGAACATCCAGTACTATTTTGAATATAAGTGGTGATAGTGGGCATTCTTTCCATGCTTTCAACTTTATCCCATTTAATATGATGTTGGCTATAGATTTATCACATATGACTTTTATTATTTTGAAATATGTTTCTTCTATGCTTAATTTGTTAAGGATTTTTATTCAGAAGTAGTGCTGAATTTTATTGAATACTTTTCTGAATCTGTTGAGATGATCTATGATTTTTGTTTTTAATTCTGTTTATGTAGTGAATCACATTTATTGATTTGCATATGTCAAACCATTCTTGCACCTGTGGTTTGAAACCCACTTGATTGTGGTGAATTTTTTTTTGAATTTAAGTTTTATTCTTTATCTATTTTGAGAAGATATTTGAAATGTTTTATGTGAATTACTTGGGATTCTCTTAATATATATAGATTTATAAGGTAGAAAATTATTTTTACTTATTTATTTTTATTGAGACAGAGTCTCACTCTGTTGCCCCAGGCTGGAGTGCTGTGGTGTGAGCCTAGCTCACAGCCACCTCAAACTCCTGGCTCAAGTGATCCTTTTGTCTCAGCTTCTCAAGTAGCTGGGACTATGGGTGCCAGCCATGACACCTGGCTAATTTTTTCTATTTTTAGTGGAGACAGGGTCTCAGTCTTGCTCAGGCTGGTCTGGACCTCTTGAGGTCAAGTGATCCTCCCCCCTCAGCCTCCCAGAGGGCTAGGTTTATATCTGTGAGACACCACACCTGGCCCAGAAAACTATTTTTTATTCTAGAATTAAATTGTCTATGCAAAATGAATAAAAACACTACCTCTAAATATAAAAGCATGAATGATTTTGGACTATAGATTTATAGTTATATTTTAATAATTAATATACTTTTTGATTGAAAATTACAAAATAATTGATCTAAATATTATATCACATACATTGTTCTATTTTAAATATATTAATTAAAACTTTATTTTTCAGATTTTGGAATCTCTTTTTAAGGTATGTTCAATATATTATAGCTTGAACCTATTAAAACTTAATATAGGAATACATGTAAATGAAGAAGAAGTTTCTAAGTTTTGAGGAAATAAAAAACTTCCAAACTATTCCACCTATGTATATATTTAAAAAGTTTCTATTCAGTTATATGTTACCTTAGTCCCATTCTGAATCCTAAGTGATATTTTGGTCAAGAACTAATTTCTAATAGATGAAGATTCACAGCCACAGAGAAACATATATGTATACAGTTATTTCACTGCTGAAATTTAACTTGTCATTAACTATTTTTTTGTTCCTTTTTTGTTTTTTTAAAGTGGTTTCAGTGGCAGGTCAATCAAATGGAGGAGGTAAGTATAACATTTCTTAATTGTTAATATTTTAACTCATTTGAAAACCAATTTCAAGTATGATAAATTAACATTTTTTGAATAACTGTTGGTTATAAAGTAATCTTTTGATTTAGATAGAGAAGGAATAAGTAGATTGAATAAAATGTTTCTCTGCAATTTACACACTATATGTATATTCTTGCATATACTTGTATCTGGTATACTTTAAGTTTGAATGGTACATTCTTTCTCCTAAAATTCAATAATGGAAACTAATTTATTATTTTTCTTAATTTATATAAAAGCATAAGTGACCAGAGAGTTTATTCATTAAAAACTATCTGCTGTATTTGAATATCGTGTAAAATATATATGTAGACATAAAATTATATATAGATTTTCTCTCATATGTTCTTTTAATGATATTCTTTTGTACTTTTGATTTTTAGGTACTTTACCACCAGTTTAAGAACTACTGGCCTCTATCCTTATAGACTTTTTATTTTATTCTGGAAAAGACTTTTTATGTGCTCTTAGTATGGCAGAATGATTTCCAGGGTAGCTTTAGTGATATACAGAATTGTCTCATTTCTCCTTTGATCTTGCTCATGGTTCAGTCCAATTAAAAACTCTTAAAGCCAAGGATTTTTCAAAGAAAAGAGGCTGATTTATTTGAGATGTAAAATTAAAGGTAGAAACCAAAGCTATATCCTAGCACTTTCTCATTATTTTACCTCTGGCCTCAGAATAGAAGACTTTCATGGTAGGTACACTCTCTGCTTTAGGCTAGACATAACTGACATAGGAAAAGTGTTCATGGATCCTCTCTAGCAAGGGCATCGTGGTCTTCATCTTTCCAGAGAAGTAGGATTGGGATGAATTCCACTCTTCTTCTACCCTTTTGTAAACTATATATTTATTTGAAACTTGGGAAATTCAACTTGTCTTCTGCCTTATTACTTTAATCTGTCAACTTGCTTTTATTCTGTTTTATTCATGAATTGCCTTACTGTTTTCTTTTTACACCCTGTCTTGTCAATGCACATGACCTATCCAAAATCCTGGCCTCTCAGTACCTTGACATCCTCATTTCTAAAGATCTAGTGTCCTTTTTTACCCTGGAGTCTTCACTTCCAGTCACACTCTGGACCTTCTTATTAACCAAATTGCTTTATATATTTTTTTTAAAAGAAATCCCCAATTCAGACAACTTATTCTTGAACTATAAATTGCTGTCTTTCCAATTATTACTTTAAACAGCTCTCTTTGATGTCAGCAAGAGCTCCAGTCCAGTCATTCCCTCTACCTTCTTGCCATTTTTTGGTTAATCCTTCTATTTAGCTTGGAGACTATGCACTTCATCATAGTGAATTTTCTAACTTCCTAATGTCCCTCATCCCTTTCTTTCTTTCTTTTTTTTTTTTTTTTTTTGCAGTTTTTGGCCGGGGCTGGGTTTGAACCTGCCACCTCTGGCATATGGGCTTGCACCCTACTCCTTGAACCACAGGTGCCGCCCTATCCCTTTCTTCTTTCATCACGCCAGTCTTGTATATAAAATATAACCTCAAATAAATACAATTATTTACCTTCTCTGGTCCTATGGCTTAGCTGTGAAACACTGCTGAAGAAAATAACACAATGGGTTAGACGCAATTTGTTCAAATGCTGCCTGGCAATTCCATTGTCAGGAATGGAATTCCATTCTGAAAGGAATTTCAACTTTTGCCAGCCACCATCTAAAATTTACTCCCTCTGTCCTATTTCACTCTGAAATAATCACTTGGGATACTCCAAATATGAGTCATTGGTTAGGACTCCTTCACTTCCTGCTACCCAACAAAATATTTATGTCTATACTCATTTGTTCTTCCTTTTCTCATATTAAAGCAGAGATATTGTTCCTTCTCATACAGAAGGCTAATTTCCTTCATTTCTGTTTTGGATCCCATCTCAAGAACTTTGATTAGTTTTCTGTTTTGTAGATTCAATCTCTCATTCAGTTGTATCCTTTCTTTTAGTTTCTAAATGTGCTCGTCTATCTCTCATTTGATGCCACCATGTCCTCCAGTTACAGACCTATTTCTCTACCCTTCATTAACCAGTTCTTAAAAATTCTTTTGGGCCTGGCACGGTGGCTCATGCCTATAATCCTAGCACTTTGGGAGGCCAAGGCAGGAGGATCCCTTGAGCTCAAGAGTTTGAGACCAGCCTGAGCAAGAGCAAGACTCCATCTCTACTAAAAATAGAAAAATTAGCTGGGCATTGTGGCAGATGCCTGTAATCCTAGCTAACTTGAGAGGCTGAGGTGGGAGGATTGCTTGAACCCGGGAATTTGAGGTTGCCTATGAGCTAGGCTTATAGGGCACTCTAGCCTGGGGCAACAGAGTGAGACTTTGTCTCAAAAAATATTATTTTGTATGCAAATTTACTCAGTAGGAAAATAGTCCCTAAATTATTGTCAAATAATTGGGAATACAGGGAATACATCCAAAAATATTTATCTGTGAGCAGAGAGAAAAATACTGCAGATGATCTTGAACAACTAAACCAGTTTGCTTTTTTTTTTTTTTAAAGTGTTATTCAATTGATAAACTGTGAAGTGGTTAAACCTAGTGAAGAGGTTAATATAGGCATTCCTTCCTTGTAAGAGCCAACTAGGAGTATGAGGTAAACAATACGAGTTGTTTATGGATTTTCCATAAAACATTAAGAGCTTGGCTGTGGAGCGTACGTTACAGGTTCACAGCCAAGTTTATATTAATTTAGTATACATCATGTCTTACTTCCCAAGCAGTTCTCAACCTACTCAGACTAAATTCTGTCTCCATATCCACGAAAACATTCTTGGTGCCCAATAATTTGTATGTTGTTAATTTCAACAGACATTTTTCTTTGTCTCAGCCATAGTTAACATTATTGAGCACTCCCTGGTTTTTGAAGGCAGTGACTGTTCCTTTGGATTCTGTGAGTTTACACTCACTCCTGGCTACTGTTCCACCTCTTTGTCTCCTTTTCAGTTATCCTTTCACCCCACTAATAAATGTTAGAGTGCCTCAAGATTTTATTCTATACATTCCTTGTTTTCTATTTATCAAATTGGGTGAACCAGAAATGTGGTAACAATCCTTGACAACTCACTTTGATCTATTTCTAATACTCAATCCATCCTTTTGATTTCACTTCCTAAGAAGCTGTCACATGTGTCCACTTTTCACTTTATCTATTGTTTACACGTTTAGTGCCAGTTACCATCATCTTCAACATATGCCTGAAAACCCAATTTATGCCTTCATAATCCACAGGATGAATCTTCACTACACAACTATATTTCTGATCTGGAATTACAAAGTTTTCAGTATTTAAACCTATAATTGCTTCTCTTGAATAGTTTCTTAATTTGGTGTAGCAGAATATTGCCCAAGTGTTTGTAATTATTATCTTCTGCCTTTCAAAGAGCGTTTCTTAAAGTGTAGTTGTAGTTGTAGTTGATGGAACATTAAATTTCACCCAAGCTACATATTATAAATGCACATTAGTGAATTAGAATTTTGGGGTGTGTGTATGTGTGGGTTAGGTATCTACTGCTTTAATAGCCTCCCTTAAGAGATCCTCACACATACTAACATTTGAGAATCTTGGAACAATGTTGTTACTGTTGATAGATTTTACTGTTGGTACAAGCTGGTGAAGTTAACACGTGTGGTCATGTTGTAGTAACAGAGACTCAAGTTGGAGCCATCAGAATGTATGGTGAGCTGCGCCAGAGAAACGTAGGATGAGTCTGTGACCTGTCCTCTTCAGAGTAGTCCTTTTGGAATTTGTGCTCCTTAAGTGTCTTTCATGAAATCATTTACCTGATAATCCCACTGTCTATTCCATGTTGCTTTAGTTCTGTACCTTTATTTTTCTCCCAGAAAGTCCTTCCATTCAAGTTTAATCCCTGTTGGGAAATAGAATGTATCAGCTAGAGTCTAATCAAAAGAAAAAAAAACCACACAGTAATTTGATTAGGGAAATATAATGTGAATAATTGTTATAACAGAGGACAGTATTTACCAAAGGGGTAAGGGTAAGGGCAATTCTAAAGAATATAGGATTAGAAGACATAGGGAACAGTGTCTACTTGTAGGATGGATGGAAGTGGCATGCTCAAGGAAGGACAAATATAAATACTTTTAACCCTCCTTTCCCCCAACCCAGTGCTAAGATCCAGACCTTCAGAAGATGGAGCAGCCATCATCACTGGATGGCAGAGTTTGCTGGGGTGTCATTCTGGGAGAACTTGAACTCATTAGAATGCTGCCCATGAGGGTGGTACACTAGGAGGCCACCCTTTATGGTGCTGGCAAAAACCATATTTCAAAGAGGTATTATATTGCTTGCTGGAAAGCTGTCCGCAAGGGGAACTAGTGGATCTGGCTGAGAAGTTTTGGGGGAAGTTGTGCGTGGGAATGTTCTACGCCAGGGACCTTACCATGAAGCTGTCCATAGGGGTGGTGCTGTTGAAACTTTCTGGGGGTGAGCGCTGCTAGGTATACTGTGCTCTGCCCTCGTAGTAAGCAGAGGGAGATGACAGAACTAGAGAGAAAAGCTGCTTTCTCCTCCAGTGCCTCTCTAGGATGCTCTATTGACAAAATTTAACATGTCATTTGTCAAAGAAGAAATATTCCACTCTCAGAAGCAAGACGATGAAGAATAGATTTTTGAGATGAAAGGCAATACATTGATAAATGTGCCTGATTGGCACATCACCTTTTAGACTCAGTTTATGATGAGTGGGCTCTTCTCTGAGCTCTTTCCTTTGGCTGTGGTTTCCATAGGTCTCCTCTTCCCTTTCACCTGGGCTTCATCCCTTTCTGTATTTTCCTTATACCTAATCACAGACTTCTAGTTCATTTTCCAGCATGTAGTTCTTTCTGTTATATCCTAGCCCCATTCCAGATACTCATTACTGAGATGAAGTTGAAGTTTCTGTTCTCAGTCCTCAAATTTCTCTTTCCAAGGCCCTTAGCTTCTTTTTTCCCTGTGAGCTTTCCCTCCCATCCTAAGGATGAGTGGTGTCTATATTGGTGGATATATGAACTTAGGGGAAGCAACTATTTTAGAATTACTCTTGTAAATATTCTCTGCTATTGCTAGTGTGCTTATTAATGTCTGCACATATTGGCTGTTTCTAGGTTTCTTTCACTGTGTTTTTGGACACTCATCCTTGTTGAACTTTCTTCAAGTTGACCTATTTACCTAGAATATTAGTTATGATCATCATATCCTATGTCTTACTGATGCTTCCCACCACCTGTTACCTTGTAGCTTGGCCTATCCCAAAGGCCTTAAGCCACCCAAGTGAATCTCTGTCTTTCCCATGCAGAGTGAGGATGCGTATATATTAACTTCTGGGAATTAGAGCAAATTACAATATTTCCATAATTTGTCACATTAAGGGTAGTTTTAGAATTTAGGCGAAGCAGTTGTTTTTGAATTGCTCGTATACAAATTTGGGGTTGTATTTATTAGACTTGTTTCCAATTCCTATTCATTAAAGTAATAAACAGAAGATTTCAGTTTAGACATACAAAAGTCATCACTGAACCCCAAGTCTATAGATAATTCCTCAAGTATATTTGTAAATGTATTTTTAAGTATATCACTATTTGACTATAGCCATAGATAAGGGTAACAGTGTCAAAATTACTTAGATTTGATAAGAAAATAATGAAATTTCTTTGAGGAATGGGAGCAAAATGGGTATTTCCTATCTAACTGGTTAATTTTATTATTTTAGATAAGTAAAGATAAAACATTTTCAGAAGCAGAGTTTCATAAGGCTGACAAAGATGTCACTTTAAGTATCAGACAAATCGTAGGACGTGTACAAAAACTTGAAGAACTGAGAGTGCGTCTTAAAACAAAGACTGCACAGGCCTTCAAAGCCATGTTGCATAAACCCCCGTAAGTGAAATAAGAACTAATTGAATTAAGAACAATAAGAGGTGGTATATAGTTAGCACTGAATGTAAGATAATGAGTTGGGACTTGGCGCCTGTGGCTCAAGTGGCTGGGGCACCAGCCACATACACCTAAGGTGGCGGGTTCACATCCAGCCAACAATGATGGCTGTAACCAAAAAAAATAGCTGGGCGTTGTGGTGGGTGCCTGTGGTCCTAGCTACTTGGGAGGCAGAGGCAGGAGACTCGCTTGAGCCCAGGAGTTAGAGGTTGCTGTGAGCTGTGATGAGACAGCACTCTACCCAGGGTGACAGCGTGAGGCTCTGTCTCAAAAAAAAAAAAAAAATGAGTTGGATATTATGGCTATACTCAGAGCTTCTAGATCAAATCAGATCTAGTCAGCTTGTTTCTATTTGAGTTTTTAATAGTCTGAGATGGCACAGTCCAATACATTAGTCACTACCTACATGTGACTATTAAAATTCAATTCAATTCATTAAAAACATCAGTTTCCTAGTCATGCTAGCCACATTTCAAGTGCTTGTAGTTATATGTGGCTATTATTAGAAAGTCATACTGGACATTACTGCCTTTGAAATACCCGTTAAAATACCCTTTCATGCCTGGGTATGGTGACTCACACCTATAATCCTAGCACACAGGGAGGCTGAGGTGGGTGGATTGCTTGAGCTCAAGACTTCAAGAGCAGCCTGAGCAAGATAGAGACCCTATATCTATTAAAAATAGAAAAACTAGCTGGGCATGGTGGTGGGTGCCTGTAGTCCCAGCTATAGGCTGAGGCAAGAGGACCACTTGAGCCCGAGCTTGAGGTTGTTTTGAGCTATGACACCACAGTCCTCTACCCAGAGTGATGGTGAGACTCTGTCTCAAATAATAAAAAACTAAAACCAGAAAAACCTCTTCTTTCACTTTGTAACTCTTAGTGATAAATAGGCAACTATTTAAGACCTGATTAAATATTTCATTGTTTGTGAGTACCTTCATTAAAAATTATCTTAACAGTTCATCCAAGTAAAATTTTTACATTTATGAACAACCATGTTTTTGCATTAAATGTACACAATTAAAAAAATTTTATAGTGTCAAAATACAAAGTTTGTATCCGTAATTGAGAGGGCCCACTATTTATCATATAATTACAGATATCTCTATCAGTGATGAATAAAGGGAGTGGCACTTGAGTTGGTCCCAGTGGGGTTGCTTAACTAGATCCTTGGCTCAGAGGTTCAGATATATTTACTTGAGCTATTTATTATAAGGCATGGAATTAGTTTCAGACTATATATTAATACTTAGCATTTAATTGTCTATTGTATGCTAGGTATTTTTCTAGTAACTTTACATGTATAATGTGCTTTGATCCCCATAACTTTTTTATAGGGAGAATATCCCAATTTTTTTTTTTTTTTTTTTTGCAGTTTTTGGCTGGGGCTGGGTTTGAACCCGCCACCTCTGGCATATGGGGCTGGCACCTCACTCCTTTGAGCCACAGGCACTGCCCAAAAGTATCCCAATTTTAATATGAAGAAACTGAAGCTCAGAGAGGTTAAGTAGCTTATCTGAGGTCATAAAAATTAGTCAGCAGATGAAACAGGTTTCAGTCTAGGTAGTCTCACTCCAGAAGTTGTGCTCTTAAGGATCACACCATTGATAATAATAGTAGTAAAAAGAAACTTTATGTTACTGCCCAGTTTAATGTTGTTAGTATATTTAATTATGTTCATGGAAAACACAGAATTTATAGAATTATGTAGTTTGACTTTTGTACTTCTTTGCTCATAACTAGTTTACCTTAGTGTCTGTGAATAAAGGTGAAAGAGTATGTTGATTTTTATTTGAGAAACTTTATATATCTAGAGTCTAGACCATATGTTCTAGTTCTCATTTAAGGATAATTTAAATTCTTACTCTTTGATATATTAAAATATATTTTATTTATTGGAACTTTAACAGGGAGAAAGAAGTTATCCCCGAAGATTCGTCAGAAGTAGAGAGAAAGTATGAACTCATAGAGCACAAGATAGAAGGTAATTCTGTTTTATACTTGTTTAGCCCTTATAAGGTTTCCTAAGAGTATTAACACATTAAGACTTGTAGTTTAAACATTTACAGTTACAAAATTTTAAATGGTGAATTTGAATAATATTTAATAGTGAGTTTGATATTTCAATAAAAGTTTCTGTTATGTTCCAAATTCTAGGAACGTACAAAATGAATACAACTTGGTTGTTAGCCCCATGAAATTCCCACCTTAGAAAGGACAATAAGTACATTCTGTAGCATTTCAGTACTATTTCAGTAATGCATTGTAAAGGTATGTGTAATTTAAAAAAAATTTTTTAAATTTCAGGTTAATTTGAGGGTACAAACAACTAGGTTATAAGGTTTGCATTTGTTAGGTAGAGTCCCTCTTGTAGTTGTGTCCTACACCTAAGAGGTGTGCCGTATGCCCTTACATTGTGCCTGTTATGTGGGAGCACACCAATTCCCATCCCTCCTCTCTTTTGCCCTCCCCTTCTCCCCGACTTGTATTGAATTGAGTTTTTGTCTTATGTGGGCATGTAATAGATTATCTACTGGCTTCATATTAGTATTGAGTACTAATTGGATACTTGCTTTTCCATTCTTGTGGTACTTTACTAAGAAGAATGTGTCTCAACTCCATCCAGGTTAATAGAAAAGTTGTAAAGTCTCCATCTTTTTATGGTTGAATAGTATTCCAGGCTATACATATATCACAGTTTGTTTATCCATTCCTGGGTTGATGGGCATTTAGGTTGTTCCCACATCTTGGCAATTGTAAATTGAGCTGTGATAAACAATCTAGTGCAAATGTTCTTATGATAAAATGATTTTCTTAATCATTAGAGAAATGCAAATCAAAACCACCCTGAGATATTACCTAACTCTGGCAAGAATGGCTCACATCATAAAGTCCCAAATTTGCAGATGTTGGTGCAGACGCTGAGGGAAGGGAACACTTTTGCAATGTTGGTGAGACTACAAACTAATATAGCCTCTTTGGAAAGAAGTGTGGATCCTGAAAGAACTCAAATTAGACCTCCCATTTCATCCGTCAGTTCCATTAGTAGGCATCTATCCAGAAGAAAAAAGTGTACTTTATCATAAAGCATGTGCAACTTATAGTGGGGCCATAGAAAGGAGCGATCTTTTCAACCAGAGGTAGTTAGGAAGATTTTATGCAACCTAAAAGGGTGAATAGGATTTAGCCAAGTAAAGAGGGAGATATTTGGCATTTTAAGAAGATAACAGCATGAACAAATAGGGAAGTATAACTGGATTGGTATTAGAGTATTCAGTGAGCGATAGGGCTAAGGTAGGAGCGAGTCTAGTTATTGAGGGACTGGATGCTGTGCTAAGGAGCTTGGACTTTCAACGGGAGCAACACTACTAGATTTGATTTAATTTAGTTTAATTTTTTTTTTTTTTGAGACAGGAGCCTCAAGTTGTCCCCTTAGGCAGAGGGCTGTGGCATCACAGCTCACAGCAATTTCCACCTCCTGGGGTCAAGCCAGTCTCCTGCCTCCGCCTCCCAAGTAGCTGGGACTACAGGCACCCGCCACAGTGCCTGGCCATTTTTTGGTTGCAGCCGTCATTGTTGTTTGGCGGGCTGGGCTGGATTCGAACCTGCCACCTTGAGTGTACGTGGCTGGCGCCTTGGCCACTTGAGCCACAGGTGCCAAGCCCTAGATTTAATTTTAGAGATTATTCTGGCCACACTGTAGAAGCTACATTTGGGGAAGTAGGAAGGGGAGGTTATTATATGTCTTATTCAATAAAAGAGAAGAAAAGGGACAGATTTGAGAAATATTTACTAGATGGGACTGCAAAACTTGGAGACTAGATACAAAAGAGGGGAAGTGTAGTAGACTGAATACCATGCTTGTAAGAACAGTCCCAGTTATTGAGGGAAACGCTGGGAGCGGGACAATCTCCTGGCTGGTTTGCAGCCCAGTGACAAACCCTCAAGCAGTCAAGAGGTCTAAAGAGATAAGATTGGTCACTCTTTGGTGAGCAGGTGTTGAGCCTTGAACATTTGTGGTGCATAAGGGTGGGAATAGAGCCTGGGGAAAAGAGCACGTAGCAATCCTCAAGCACGTAGTCCTTGTACGTGGACTCCTCAGACCTGTGGCTCAGCTCTCCCGCACCTCTGGGAGCCTTGCCTCTTGCAAGCTTGCACTTTAAACCTGCGCGCCACCTGTTTCCTGCGCACAGTGTCGGTGTGACATAGCGGCACCAGCAGGGAAGGTAGATGATGCTGGTACCACCAACTTAGATGAGAGAATAGGAGTGGAAACAAGTTTTAATTAAGAAATGATGAGTTCGTAATCTGCGATTACACACATTCCTTCAGATGTCACTATTTGTGTCTTATTGGGAAGATCTGCAGTGTTGGCAGCTATTTTTTTTGTAGGTTTTTCTTTCTTTTGGATGAGTTATTAAAATAAACACTATAAACTTTAAACTGAATCTATATAATTTGCTATTTGAAATTCATAATCACCAATATACTTTTAATTATTTCAGAATTCATAAAAAAGCATCCATCTAAAAAATATACAGAAGCTTTTGAAATGGATCCACGTAAGTTTCCAGTCATATAAGCATTATTATATTAATTTCCTCAGTCAAGTACATTAATTTCTATAATTTTAAGGGGTAATTATTGGGGCAAAAACACAGATTCCCTACAGTTTGGAGCCATACAATTAAGTTGCTTGTCAAGCAAGTTTTGAAATTCTTAGTGAAGGTGGCACAGTAGCAAAACCAGACTCATTTCTGAGAAGTGCTATGCTAGTTCTTGGAGAGCAGGAGGATTCTGAGTTGTGATTAGAACATCCACTGAAATGTTGGCAGGCCTTTGAAGTTAGAGCAGTGTGAATTTACGGCAGGGTTTATGGATTTCATTTCCAGGAATAACTAATGCTTTAACTACAGCTGTGTACTTATTAATGTTCATGAATGTAAAGATCTACTAGAACTTGCATGTCAGATTTCTGACTATTTGTCTGCAAAAAGGAAAAGTTGTCCCGTTCATGTTATAGTACTGGAGAGAATTTTGAAATAATGTGTGGTCTGAGATCCAGTTTAAAGGCAGAAAATAAGATGTGATTGGAACAAGTTGCTGGGAATTCTGCCCTCTTTTAGTTTTAGTTTTAAACCCTAGTGTTACCGCATTTAAGCCAAGGATAGCTGCATATTCTACAGTACTCGCAAGTTCTATAGAGATTTCTGCTCCAAGACTGACTAGGTGGGGTAGAAAGGTATCTAGATCTTTGGAGTGGATAGTGAAAACCTCTTTATACATCTGGGGAAGCCTCTGTACGTCTAAGGTTCGTCCTATCTTTCTCTCTCTCTCTGTCTCTCTGCTTTCTCCCTAATGTTGTGCTCCGTGAATCCTAGTTGCCTTGGTTTCCCAAACACTAAACTTTGTCTCCTACCTGAAAGAGACCAATAGGCTCTGTTTGGGTTGCCCATCCTTATACTATAGGCTGGAAATTCCAGGCAGCAAGCTGGGGTCATCACAAGGCCTTTCTCCTTTATTTTTGTTACATCTTGGACTTACTGTTTTTTAATTTCTGATTAGCACTATATTTTTGTCCCATATTTAAGTGGTTTAAAGTAGAAAGGTAATTCTGGTCCCTGATGCACCATCAGGATGCATGCAGTTGCATCTGGATGAAAGTGGAAATCAGAAAGCAGAGATCTCTGTGCATATGGATAGGCCAATGGGGCACACCTTTCAACCACAGAACCAAATTTCAAAAGGATCAAATGTAGTTGAAATTTCACTCATGGTTTTAGGGGAATCAGAGGACAGGGGTATATTGCACATATGAAGAAAATGCTTTTGCAAATTTCTAAGTGTTTTTTCCCCCATGGCAGTTGCTTCAGTCCTTCAGCTCCATTAGTATAGATCTATTCTCTCTCAATATTGCTAAGTTTCCCTTGTTTACTTGCCTTTTCTCTTAAAGTTCCTCCTTTCATCTTTTCAGGTCAGACTTCTTTTCACTTCTTCTTACTCTCTAAATTCTATTAGATCGTATAGTCTAACTACCAAGACTAAAGCTCCTTTTGTTTTGTACTCCATTTTTATTCTTTTTTAGATATACTTTCATTTTGATGTTGTTGAAATTTTAGTAATTAATAGACTGTTTTAGAGACATTTTAAGTTCCTAGAAAATTGAGCAGGAAGCACAGAGTTCCCACTGAACCACTTTGCCTTTACACAAAGTTTCCCCTCTGATTAACATTTTCCATTAGTGTCATATATTTGTTATGCTTGATGAACCAAGCTTGATGTGTTATGATTGACTGAAGTCCATAGTTTCCACAGAGCTCACTCTTTGTGTTGTACGGTTCTATGGGTTTTGACAAATGTATAATGTTAGGGGTTCAATTTTACAGTGTTTGAGAGACTAGTTTCACTGTCCTAAGAATCCCATGTTACACTATTGAGCTCTTCCTCTGTCTCTCTGAATCTGTGGTAACCACAGATTTTTTTTACTGTTTGTAGGGTATTGCCTTTTCAAGAATGTCATATGTTTGGAATCTTTCTTTTGCCTAAAATTATATGCATTTAAGGTTCCTCCATGTCTTTCATTAGCTTGATAGCGTAATTTTTTCATTGTTGAATGAATCCATTGTATGAAAGTATCACAGTTTGTTTATCTACTTATTGAAGGGCATCTTGTCTCTAAGTTTTGGCTATTATAATAAATAAAGCTGTGGAAAAAGTTATGTGCATGTTTTTGTATAGATGTAGGTTTTCAACTCATATGGGTAAATAAATACCAAGAAACATGATTGCAGTCATGTGTAAGAATGTGTTTAGCATTACGTGTATAGGAAACTGTCAAACTGTTTTTTTTTTTGAGACAGAGTCTCACTTGTCACCCTCAGTAGAGTGCTCTGGCATCACAGCTCACAACCTGAAACTCTTGGGCTCAAGTGATTCTTTTGTCTTAGCCTCCCAAGTATCTGAGACTATAGGTGTTGCCGCAAT